TCCCCAGCTAACAATTCTCTGCCTTCTGATGAATATTTAAAAACAGTATGGTGATTGCCAGAGGGAAAAAGGGCTGGGGAAGGTAGGGGAAGGGACGGGGAGATAAATGGTGATGGAAGGAGACCTGACTTGGGTAGTGAACACACAATACGATATACGGATGATGTGTTATAGAATTGTACACCTGAGACCCATACAATTTTATTAACCAATGTCACCCCAATGAATTTAATTAATTAATAAATAAATAAATCTTCTCCCCGCCCCTCTCTGTTGATGAGGAGACTTGCATTTCTCGTTATGCTCTTAGCCTGTGGAGGCCACTTTTCTGCCCAGGGAAACATCCAGTTGTCCGATCACCTGGAAGTACCTAGGCAGGGACACTGTGGGGCGCGCACACACACATACGCACCTACGGCGCTCAACTTCTCCGACAGGCCTCTGATCTCCAGAGGGGACCCACGGTCACCTCAGCCTTTCCTACAGCCCTGCCTCCGCCCTCAGAGCAGCAACCAAGGCCATCTGACGGGGTGCCTGTTCGCCAAGCCCCTGCTGCGGCTCAGCGCGGAGCCCCCTGTCCTTGGAGGGGGCGCTCCAGTGCATGCCACCGCCGCTGAGCAAGCCCAAGCTGGGGGGGCGGGAGGTACTAGTTTGTGTCTGAGATTCAGTGTCAGTTTGTCTCAACATTGCTCTCCAGAGCCTGAGGTCCTTCTCCACTCCCTTCCTCTCACCCTTACTCTATCTCTACCGCGTTGTTCCTCTCCTTCCCTCCGTCTGTCTACTTTGTGTCTCAGATCTTTTGCTGTCACACTCCCCACCCCCGCCAACACACACGCACAAGGGTCAAGGGCTGGGTAGAGGGTCCGGCCTCCCCCTCAGTCTTCAGTACCAGGATCTGGCTGAATTCATTGGAAAACTCCATGAAGGAATGAACTGTAGCTCCTGGCAGCCTCCTGCCCTCCTCCCCCCAGTAACAGACCTTTCCCAGGTCTCTAAGCTGAGACCTAAGGTGAGGCGGATGGGCGAGAGAATGACCAAAGACCGCAATGGCTAAGGAGGGGGACTATTCCCAGTGGCCAGACTGAAATAGAGCACATGCAGCAGAGGAGACAGGACTTAAATTCTTACCCATAATCAAAATCCCTCCCAACCTGAAAGCTCCACACCAAAAAGGTGCTGCCATGTGCCAGCTGTGTGACGTGAGATGTGTCACTGAACTTCTCTGAGCCTATAATAATCCCTATTTTAAAAGATTGTTAAGATTCAACAAGATAGAGACTGTTGATTTCTTTTTAATGCTTTGGGCTGCAAATAACAGAAAAGGCAACCAAGATTTGCTTGAGCAATAAAGATAATTATTTCAAACACTAAGATTCTAGCAGCAGCATTTTCAGGTTTCGTGCAATGATTCAGAAATGCCATTGAAAACCAGTTTCCTTCCATATAACTACTTCACCCTCCTTAGTTTGTTATTTACATCTCATGCTGTTTCATCATGGTTGAGTGACAGCTGGCACAACTCTGGATGTCGTGGACCACATTCCAAAGAAGCAGAAGGGATATATTAATAATAAACACACCGTCGGGTGATGAACTTCACTGTAGGTGATTCAAGGATCCCACCTTGAGAGCGTCTGCCCTGCAGCATGATTACCTAACAGGAAACTTACCCTCACCTCAGATGCCTTTACATTAAAAAAAAAAAAAAAAAAAAACCCTTCAGAGAAAACCCATTGGTAGGATTCCATGCACATGAGGGGCTGGGCATGGGCAGGAGAAGGCTTCCTGGCACCTGAGGTCCTACCGCAGACCTTCAGAGCTGGAAGGGACCTGAGAGAACCTCCCCTTAACCCTACCACATGTTGGGGAAACGGAGGCCCAGTGAAGAGAAGTGGTTTCTTCACAGTCACACAGCAGAGCCAGGGCTAAGTATTCCTGGCTCTGAGACCCTCTTGCTGTTCTGAGGTGAGTCCTCAGATAAAAGGTCTTGGCCCAGGAAATGCAGGTTTCTTCGGTGGGTCCCCAGGAGCAGAGCCTGCGCCAGGGACTCCTGTTCAGATGATGGACGGCGGAGGCTTTGAGGAAAAGGGAAGTGAGGGGCGCAGGACAGGAAAAAGGTAAAAGCTACATCAGAATGTGGCCTCCTCTGGGCTCCAGCTGCAGCCTGGTCCCGCAGGAGGCTCCAAAGCACAAACAGCATCACAGAGTTAGTCCTTCCTGGAGGCCTGGGGTCACCTTTCGTGCCACCACATCAGTGAGTGGTCGGCCACGGTCCCCCAGGTATGTGTGTGGGTGCTGTGAGGCCTGCTGGGTGGGGGCAGCTCTTGCTTGGCTGATGCTGCTGCTCCAGAAAAGGGGCAGCTAAGGGTCCATGGCAGCTGCGGGTCCTCCAGCAGCTGGGGCTGGAAAACAAGCAGGTCAGAAGGCAAACAAGCCATCTCCTTCCCAGAAGCTCCAGTCCCCTGGCATTTTCAGCCACAGAACAGTGTCCAGGCAGATAGGCCTGTGCTCTCTGCACCCGCAGTTTCCTTGTTCGTAAAATGGGCACGCAGGCCCAAAGGACCGCCGAGTTCCCTCCCAGCTCTGCATTGCAGAGCTTCTGTGAATCCACTTCCACCCCCTCCCGACGTTCCAACCAGGCAGGCCCCCACCCGCCAACTCCCCACTTGTCCCAGCGGCTGGAGAGCCATCGGGAACAGCAGATTTGACTTGGGGTGGGAAACACACAACACAGTACTCAGGTGATGTGTTATAGAATTGTACATCTGGGCTCTGTATAGTTTTATTAACCAGGGTCTCCCCAATAAATTCAATTAAAAACTACATCTTGAAATTTGAAGAAAAAAAAAAAGAACCATTGAGAACAAAGTGGGGTCTCTACTCAGGAGGCCTGAGATGGGCAGAAGCAGGTTTCTGGGTTTGCGGACGTCCCCGGCCTGCTGAGCAGACCTGGGGAGTCAGTATTTCTTGAAATGTAAGTACTGAGACCACACTGGGTTGCCACTAAATTCATTATCCCATTACACAGGCCTGAATTATTCAGCGCTCTGGAGGCTGCCTCAGGAACACACCCAGCACAGTTGATGCCAGAATTAGCGGGATGGATGGATCAGGCCCGGGGCATGGCTGGTGCCCAGATGATGGATCTCGGCCCAGAGTGGCTGCCAGGGCTTGAAGGCATGAGAGGGTCCAGCACCTGGGCCCTGGGCATTCCCGGGACCTGGGGAAAGGCTTGTGTATATATGCACAGACTCCCTAAGTGCCCCCCCCCAAGAAATTGGCAAAGTGTATTTTTGGAGGCCCACCTGCTCCAAACAAACCCAGGGACGGAAGATCGAGGCTCTACCTCTACCTGGCTATGTGACCTCCAGCAAGTCATTCACCTTTCTGAGCCTGTGTCTTTATCCGTAAAATGCAGCAATGATGCTGAACATTCCTGGTATCCATTCTCCCTCTAAGCATATAATGATAGAACTGAGTTTTCATTGAGTACATAATCCTCCAGAATAATGACTATTTCTAGGTTGAAGTGTGCCCATGTGACTAAGTGCTACTCAAAATGATGCAGGTAGAAGTACCCCATAAAACTTTGAAGATATGTCCTTAAAGGATGAGGCTGAGTCCTATCTTTTCCTTTCCTTTTTCTGAAAACTGGGTTAAAGGTGTGATGGCTGGAGCTCAAGCAGCCATCTTGCTCAGTGAGGAGAAGCCACATGTTGGGGATGGTGGCACAACAGAGTAGAAGCCTGTTGACTCTGGAGCCTCCTTACCACCTCCAGGTTGTATCTGTATAAAATAGAGGCCCTGTCCTGTGTGGCTCAGTTGGTTGGGCCTTGTCCCACAAGCTGAAAAGTTACCCCACAAGCCAAAATGTCACAGTTTGATTCCCTATCAGGGCACATGCCTGGGTTGCAGGTTCAGTCACCAGGTGATGTATCATAGGAGAGGCAATGGATCGATGCTTCTCTCTCACTTCCAGGTTCCTCACCCTCTCTTCCCCTCCCCTAAAAATAAATAAATAAAATCTTTAAAAACTAAAATAGAAATTAACTTCTCTCTTGATTAAGTCATTGTCTTTTGGGTTTTTCTGTCATAGCCAACCCCCTCCCCCTACTTTGTTGGGCAAGCCTGAAGGTGAAATAAGGCATTACAGGAAAACACTCATCTCAACAGGTATTTCCTCTAGTATACTTCAGTGGTTAAGAACTGCAAGCCCTGAAACCAGAGCATTTGAGTTCAAATCCCAACACTCCCATTTAATAAACTGTGCAACTTCGGGCAAGTTGCTTGACCTCTCTGTGCTTTCAGTTTCCTCATCTGTAACATGGGGATAAATATGAGAATTAACTGAGTCACTATGAAGCTACAAGAAGTGTTATATAAGTATCAGCAGTTAGTACCCCATTTTTACACATTTAGTGGGAGTCCCAGTGGATCTCAGGGTCCCGGGTCTCCATACATCTTCCGAAAGCTTCATCTCTGCCTGGATTTTTCCCTCAGGGTGGCTGTGCTCTCCTCCAGGCAGCTCGGTCATGACATGAACAGCTTTGCCTCAGCGGGGAAGCCCCCAACCTGAACCAAAGAGGGATGGGCAGCAGAGACTGGGCTCCTGGTTTGGGGTCAGGAGGGGGACTGCTCTCTGGGTTCCCCGGGAAGTTCTTCCTCAGAAAGAGAAAGAGAAATAAAAGCACCTGACTGTGTGCCCCAGGCAGGTATCACTGGGCCTGTGGGGAGTGGATTAAATCAGAGGTCGCAGTTCATGTGCCAGCAGCACAAAGACCAATATGGGATATGAGTGGAATGTGTTGTGCTGGAGGCAGCAGGGAGTGGTGGGGACTTCGGCAAAGCACAGGACCCATGTGGGGACGGACACAGGCACATGCAGTGTCAGCAGCCTTGCCACGCAGCCAAATGGGTCGGGCTTGGTGAAATCTTCTGCTTTCTCAACAGAAATGAAAATCAAGTCTAAATTCTTTGTGAAATTTTCCAGTTGTTTAGTATTGGCCCCATTCAAACAAACAAAACACCGATCAAGAAAAACAAAGTATGCCCTCAGGCCAGCCCAAGGGCTGCAGACATAAACAAGCGCTGAGAGGTCTCTCGTGCAAGCAGTCTGAATCCCGAGTCCCAGGCTGCATTTCCTGCTGTCTCTGGGGGAAAGGGGCGTGTGCTGAGACTGAGTGCGGCTTGGAGGAAAGAAAGGGCTGGGGGTTTCTCCTTTGCTCGCAGGCAGGTGCTCTAGGCTGGAAGAGGGAAGGTGAGCCGGACCCCTCAACTCCCTCTCCTGTCCGTTTTCAGGATGGCAGTGAGGGTGGGCGGAGGCAGGGGGCTGCCGTGCAACCTCAGGCAACACTCCAACTCCCAGAGCTTCAGGTTCTTCCTCTGAGGCTGAACTGATTGGAAAATCTTCAGCCTCTGCCTGTGGCGGCCTGTGCTCGCCGCGATGGTGCCCAATGGAGTCTCTGCGCCCATACCTTTGGAGACAGCCTGGGGCCCTGGGGACCTGCGTGTAGATTGGACTGCTGCTCCTGACTCTGCACTCTGCCACCAGTAATAGGATTACGCATCCATACCCTTGGTCATGTGACCTCGCGGGGCCACCCCATGGAGGGGATAAAGCACAGGCCTTTACTCGGGACTTGGGGCTTGGCCAAGTGATGCTGTGGCACTGGAACATCAGCAGACCTGACTGAGACAGAGGCTTTGAAAGCACTTACAGGGTGGGCTTCTTGCTCCAGTGTTATCCACTGGGAAAGGACATGCCCAGGAGGAAAGATCTGAACCCACCACTGAAGCAGAAGAGCCCCAGCTGACCCTCTGGACCAGGAGCAAGAAAATGAATTGATTATTCTAGAAGCCAGTGAAATCTGGGGCTGTTTCATAGCATTGCCACAGCACAAACCGACGACTGTGCCAGGAGGACGTGGGCTTCCCTGACCCTGTCCCCAGCAGGATGCACAGGAACCCCCGACCCATCTGGTCATCCACTGTCCCAGAGGCCTCTGTGCCCCTGGCTCTGAGGCAAATAGAGGGACCCCCTGGAGTGGGGAGATGCCCCAGGCTGTGGCCACACAGAATCGGAGCCAATCCCGAGTCACGGCTGTGACTTTGAATGAGTCCTTCCTCTGTCTGAAAGCCATCTGTGGAGCGATCGTGCCTGCTTCGTCGACGAGAGGCCACAGGTCTGCAGCAGCACAAAGGTGGGTCCCCAGTGCTGGCATTTGGGCTCATCTAGTAGGGGAGGTATGGGCCTGCCAGGAGTCTTTGGGATGGAGGCATCTCTTGCAAGAAAGCTCACTCTTGATGAAAATGAAGCCTCATCTCTGGAGGGCACGATTTCAAGTTCACTGTGGAATCTGTCACTGTGTCCTGAAGGAAAAAAGCAAACAGGTTTATCTCAGCACCAACTCTAAGCCTATGGGCCCAGGCCATACTGCCTGGGGGCTGGTATCAGGAATGCTTTGAGCTTTAAGTAAAAGAATATATAGCAAATCATTGCTTAAACAGAAAGGGCTCCTTTTTCTCATGTAACGAGTAGTCTGGAGCCAGACAGTTGCTGGTGGTGGCTCAATGGCTAGATAATGCCTTCAAGCAGCAGCACTGCATCCCAGCATCCCCAGTGTTTGGTTTGTTAAACCATAACTTCATTGCCCAATGGCCATAAGACGGCAGCTATGGTTCCAACTGCTTCATCTTTATGTAACCCCATACAAGCTTAAAAGAGGCTAAGCAATAACAGAGGAGTTTCTTAGTATCAGGGAGGAAAATTTCCTGAGAAGCCAGAAATGAGCTGCAGAGAGGATGAGAGCACCTTGAAAAAATATGCCCGAGATGGCTGCGACAGCCTGAGATGGATCACAGTTCACCCCCAGGGCTGGGCACACTTTCTCGGATAGCATCAGGCTCCCAGTGCCAAGGCAGAAGGAGGAGGAGGAGCGCTTCAGAGGCAGACAGTAGGGCAGACCCGTCCCACAGGGGAGCTGCACCAGGCAGGACCCTTAACTGCAAACCATAGAAGCTGCTCAGTAGCAAACAGCAGATTTTACTTTGTTGCAAACAATACCCCACTCTGTTGTAAACAGCAGCCTCTGGGAGGACCAGAGCATCAGGTTTGGATGCTCCACAAGCAGGAACTTCACAACCAGAAGCCTGCCCAGTCCCACCACGGGACTGTTCTCGTTGGAACACAGCCGCCACACAGCCCACCTCTGGCTGGAGGCTTCAATACAACCATCCCGGCAGCAACGGGCACCGCCACCTCGTCACACTTACTCGCTGCGCACCTTTCTCCTTCACGCAGCCGCTAACTCACACTGCCTACATTTGCATTCCCGAGTCTTCTACATCCGATGGGTGGAAGCTAGGTCCCGTGTCTTCCGCAGGGTATACATGTTTGCTGTCTTTGAGAAAAGGAAGGACTCACAACATAGGCCAGTGTCTTAAAAGTGAAGAACATTTTAAGCTGCAGGGGGACTTTCTCTACCAGGTCTCAGAAGGGCCCCATGAAGTCCTGACCATTTGAAGGCTTCTGAGGGTCAGCCAGGGTATCTGGAAGAAGCGTTCCCGTCCACCCTGACAAGAAATAAGGAGGGAAACAGGGGACACCATGAAAAACACACCTAAGTTACTCACTGGGGAGTCTCAGAAACACCTGGACTGAGCCAGATAAGGTGAATTACAGGTGAATTGTTGGTACGTGGAAGATGCTTCCCCAGAGAACTAAACGAATTTCCAGAGGACCTTGGGGCTCTGGACTAGAGCCCAGCGGTGAGATGACACACTCGTATGGAAGCTGAGTTAGAGACAAGTTCACCTCCTGGCTCGGCCACTTATGCATCACTCGACCTCTGGGAGCCTTGGTTTGCCCACCTGGGAAACGGAGACGATGCCGGTTACTAGACATGGGTGCTCTGAGGAACCTTCCACCTCCCCTTCAGTTCAGGCGCAGCAGGGAATCCTGTGCGTTTAGGTATCTGACCCCACGGTGCTTGTCAGGGAGCGGGAATGGGACCCAGGCAGGGGTATTTTAACCCATGTAACCACTCTGAGAGCTTGGAGGCTGTGGCAGGCAGACTTTTGCCTCTTCCCATGATCTCTACCACCCAGGTCACTCCCAAGGGAGGACTTCACAGGTGTAACTAACCAGCCCACCTTAAAATAGGGACATTATCCCATATTATCCGGGTGGGCCTAGCATAATCACATGAGCCCTTAAAGGCAGGAGAGGAAGGCATCAAAAAGATTCAAGGGGCCTTTGCTGGCCTTGAGCACGAAGGGGCTTCGTGAGAAGTAGCTGAACTTGCTGACAGCTAGAGAGCTTGGAGGAAGGCCTGAAGCACCAGGGCAGAACTGCGCTCCAGGCAGCACCTGGACTTTATCCTGGGGAGACCCTAAGCAGAGTCTGGCCACGTCTTCATGCCAGACTTTTGACCTACAGATGCATGAGATAATAAATGGGTGACAAGCCACAGCGGTAGAACATTAACACAGAAGGATCATCCCCATTTTCTGGTTGAGGAACTCTGAGCCCACACAGCCACAGAGTGAGTGGTGGGGCCACTGTGTGAATCCAAGTCCGTGCGGTCCCTGAGCCCATGCTGTCGCCTCCCGTTTGGCCCGCCCAGGGGAGGAAACTGAGGCACTAAGCCTGGGTATGGCCTGCCAGCTCTGCGGCTTCTCGGCAGAGGTGGGAGCAGGTGTGGACCCTCTGTCCTCCTGAACTCCTCTCAGGAGTCCCAGGAGCCCTGATTCATGGTCTGTCTGCCTCCATCCACTCAGCTCGAAATGCCTCCCTAGAGCCCTGGAATCAGGGAATTGCCTCCCAGAGTCACAGGTGAAAAGACGCCATCCTCCCCGGAGAGCTCGGCAGACCTCTCCCAGAAGTGGTCAAACTCAGGCTACAGCTTCTCTGTGGGGGGAAGGGGCCTTAAAGAAGGCAAGTCCTGGAGAGGGACCCGAAGGTGCCTCAGCCCACAGCTGCTGGGGCAGAGCCCACTGGGTGAGAAGGGAACCGAAGGGCGCAAAGGTAGAAAGAGGATTCCTGGGGCAGAGATGAGGTGGGTGGGGGCAATCGGCCAACCACGGAGACCCTTCTGACCCTACCAGTCTTTACTTCCATGTCCTAACTTCTCTGATCCATGCCCTGTATCAGAGAAAACGGTTGTTTCACTGGCCAGATCAGATTCAGTTCAACTGACACAGTACTTTAAAAAATTTTCTCATTAAAAGCCAGATTTCCAACCTCTCTTGAAAAAAATCATAAATTCTGGCCACACTACACCCGTCTTCTCACATGGCAGCATGAATTGGAGTCAGATGGCTGCCATGCCTTCTGATGGTGCATGAGCTTTGGAGCACCATAGTCCCCACTGCTCCCTATTGCCCTCCACTCACCGACCTGCCCAGTCCCTGAAGACACCCAAGTTTCCATCCCTTAGGCCCAACTTGACTCTATGACATTTCCCCTCTGCCCCTGACTCGGCCAGTCCTGAGGGAGCTTGGGGGAGGCGCCTAGCCTCTGTGATGTCAGCAGGTCGGGGGTAAGTAGAAGTTGAGGGCATTAGGATAGACACTCAGGTGTCTCTTCCAGACTCATTTGTTTGTGGACAACTGCTCCCAGTGACCTGGTGTGGCTAAGGATTGGTCGGGGGTCATATTCCTGACTTTCTGGTGTGAACCTAAGGGAATGTACAGGCACCCATTCATTTCCTCATGATCCTGCAGGGTCCCCGATGCCTAATGGAGCAGCTGTATTTGGCCAAAAGAACAACTGAGAGAGGCAGAAATGGTCCTCCCTCCTCCCCTGAGGCAGCTACCCACATCCGCACGGCCCTCTGGGGAGGCCCAGTTCCCCTCACCTCTGGAGGCCCCTCTGAGGAAAAGAACCAAAACCTATTTTGTCTTCAGACCCCTGGTCTTCTAGGAAAAGGCCCCATAACGGATTCGGAGGCAACACTTTGCTGCCTTCATTGTGAGCTGAGACGCTGGCACTGCAGTGGAAGAGACAAGAAATCAGGAGTAAATGGGGGAGGGAGGTGGAAAAATTAAATTTTGCGTGATCAGCAAGGTTTCAAACAATCGCTCGCCAACTGAAGTGGGTGCCACGTCTATAAGTCATTCTGTTTTATAGACCATTAGGATCTCCAGAGAGAACCTGCATGGAGACCACTGCTTTTTGTTGAAATTAAAATGTCAGAGAAAAAGAAATAGAACAAAACAGGGAATCTGCAATTAATTACCAGGCCATAAAAATTCAATAATCAGGAGGCAGAGCGGCCTCGGGCCCAGAGGTATCGGAGCCAGCGTAACAAGAATGGAATACATTAATCTTTTCAAATTAGTTTTTTAATCTGACAGGGATATATGGTGACATGCCTCCCCTCCCGCCGGTCTCCCCACCTCCGCCTGCTCCGGACTGCAGCCAGGCTGGAGAGGGAGGTTCTGCCGGTGAGAAGGGGGCCTGCCCACACCTGGACCCCCAGACAGGGGAGGGAATGAGGTCTGCAGCCTCAGCTGAGCCCAGGGCGCGCCTGCGGGCTGGCCTGCTGGAGGGGCGCAGCAGTGTGGTGCCAGGAAAACACTGCTTGAGTATGGTTCCAGCTGGGGCCCATTGAGTCAGAACAGCTCTCTGGTGTGTCCCAACTTTGGACAGGGGGGTCAGAGGGTTTAAGAAAACAGGAACAGGGTCTGGGCAGTGAGCATGGAGAAGTGGTCTCTCTGAGCTTTGGTTTCCTCCTCTGGAAAATGAGGATAATATCACAGTCTCACAGAGACGCCTGGTGTTCAATAAAAGGCCCCCTACTGCTACCATTTTTACTATCTAGACAGGCTGTTCAGACAGCAAGGAGCCGGAGGCACCGCCAGCACATAACTCAGAGAGCATTTATTTAGCACCTACTGTGTGCTGAGCTGTGGGGGAGGAGAGACCAGCAGCTTCGGTCCTAATCCTGGGGAATTAGACTCACAGTCAGGTCACAGAAACTTTTACAGAGCCAAGTAGGATGCAGAACAGCAGTGGGGAAGGGGCTTCTCTTCTGAGCAGGATGCTCGCCGGGTGACAGAGAACTGGGAGGAGCTGGACAGCAGGCTCCGCCCCTGTTCCTCTCGTCTGGGGAACGACCGCTGATTGGACAGAGAACCAGCTCCAACCCTGTGTCAACGTGGAGGCTGTGCCCTCAGCTCCTGGAGCAGGGTCCTGGAACCGGGCCTACTACAGCGTTGCCTCCCCCAGACTCAGGAGTCCGGCCTGGCCATGCAGGTCAGTCCCGAGTTCCAAGTTTCTCTCCAGCTCAACCTGGTCTTCAGCCTCAGCCTCGCCGCTCTCACTTACCACCTCTCCCTCCGACAAGCCTGCCTCTGGGCCTTGGTAGCGCCGAACCCTGCCTAGGGAGACCCCAGGGGAGCTCTAGCCAGTGTGGTTACTAAATGGGCTCTGTCCCCTGGGGACAGCAGTGGAGCAGTAGCCAGGTGACCTTCTGCCCTTACCACCTGGACTCCTTTCTAAATGTGATCGTTGTGATCCACTAAGTGCTGGGCCTTGTGTAAATCCTTCACCTGGATTTTCTCATTTCCTCCCCTGGGTGGTGGGGACTATTAACCCATTTTACAGAAGGCAAAATTGTGAAGCTGGGGCAGCTCACAGGTTCTTGTGTGTCCTGTGGTCTCCAAACACAGCTTCCCTAAGAATACAAGCAGGACAGTTTCTTCCACCGCTCCCTGAGGCACACAGTAGGTGTTCAACCAGTGCTAACTCAACAGTGTCCCTAGAGAACATTCTGCAAGTGACCTCACCTGCCCTCCAATCTTTTTCCTCCCCGAGATGTCATCATTCCAACCTATAATCTTAACAGCAGCTGGCATTTATGAAGCACCTACTCTGTGCCAAGCTGTGGGATCTGGTGCCATTTGCAGTTAAGACTGTGGTCCCTGTTCCCACAAAGGAAACTGAGGCTGAGAGACATGATGAGCCTAAGATCTCACGGTTGTCTGTTTGGCACCCTGGATTTTAACTAAGGACATCTCAGCACCCCGTCAACCTGACCTGCCTCAGAGCTCCCTAGCTGTGTACGCCCAAACAAGTTTCTTCACTCTTTCAACCTGATACCCTTGTTCACTTCCCCCAAAGGCCTCCTCTGATTCTCAGTCCCTCAGGAACTTCCACTCCTATCACTTTGTACTCGGTACCGTTCTGTTACACTTTCGGCCCTCTCACCCTCCCACATATGCCCCGGGGGGTCTCAGCAGAAATGGTAGTGATGAGAAAGAAGCTTATTAAATTTTTCTCCCTGACCCAGGTCCCCAGACCCTAGATGCAAGTCTTGGTCCCTGCCGGGCGAAGTTCCGAGTGCAGCCACCAGATGGCACCCTGCTGGCCCCGGCAGGACTTGCAGTAAGGCCGTGCGGCCGCCAGATGATGCTCCATACCGCATCCTGTGGGCAGTGCCGGGACCAGGTGGAACAAGAAAGGCCTGAGGGTCCGAGTGCAGTCCCGGTAGCCCCAGCGCTAGTGATCTTTGCACCGCCGCCTTCTGCCAACGCCATGATCCAGCCCCTGCCCCGGCTCTCTGCGCCCGCGGCGCTGGCCCTGGGATCAGCCGCTCTGGGCGCCGCCTTCGCTACCGGCCTTTTCCTGGGTGAGTAGGGACCCGCCTGCAGCTCCCTCGCAGAGGCCCCGCAGGCAGGGCTGGCGTGGGAGCACAGCCCTTGGAATACCCGAGGCTGGCGGCAGCTAAGGCTCACCCATGGCTCCCGCGAGTCCCAGGCCCTGACTCATTATCCCTCCCGGCAGGGAGATGGTGCCCTCCATGGCAATCTCGGCGAGAGAAGCGCCTGCTGCCCCCCGAAGACAGCCCCCTGTGGCAGTATCTGCTGAGCCGCTCCTTGCGGGAGCATCCGGCGTTACGGAGCCTGCGGCTGGTCAGCAGGGCCGAGGGCGGGACCAGGAACCCAGCTCCGGCCCTGCAGACCCCACGTGTTCGCATGACCTTGGGTTGGGCTGGGACCTCGGTTTCCGCGCTCTTCAGCCTGGGCGCGGTGGGCGTTCCCTGGGAGGGCGTTTCTCTGGGCCACGCCCACCGAGGAGGTCCTGAACTTGGGGGCTGGCTAGCTTACTGGCAGTGCTGCAGCAACTTTCTCCCTTCCCACACACACAGCTGACTCTGGAGCAGCCGCAGGGGGATTCAATGATGACCTGTGAGCAGGCCCAGCTTTTGGCCAACCTGGCGCGACTCATTAAGGCCAAGAAGGCGCTGGACCTGGGTAAGGCACGTGGCCGTGATCAGTGGATGTCTGTCACCAGCCATCTCCCCACTGTGGCCTGAGTCTATCCGTGTCCGTCCCCAGGCACTTTCACAGGCTACTCAGCCTTAGCGTTGGCCCTGGCACTGCCCCCCACTGGGCACGTGGTGACCTGTGAGGTGAACCCGGAGCCCCCGGAGCTGGGTCGGCCCCTGTGGCGGCAGGTGAGTGTCCCTCATCAGGGTCTCGGAACCCAGCCACTCCGCTCCCAGCTCTGGGAGAAGGGACGTGCTGGTTCTGACCCCAGTCCTTCCTCAGGCTGAAGAGGAGCACAAGATCGACCTTCGGTTGAAGCCTGCCCTGGATACCCTGGGTGAGCACAGTGTGGAAGGGGCCTTGGCACCATATCCCAAATGGGGCCATCGGGTGTAAGCTAGTAACCAGGTCTTACGGATGGGCTTGGGGCGATGACAGCCCCCCACTGCCCAGCCTCAGGGTATGCAGCCACATGCAAGGTGGCAGGGCTGGCGTCCTCGAGGCCGGAGTCCCTGAGTGGTCACAGCACCTAGACTGGCCTGGGCAGGGGCTTCCAGCCACCAGGCCTGCGGACTCAGCCACATCTGCCCATCCCTCCCCCGCAAGATGAGCTCCTTGATGCAGGCGAGGCTGGCACCTTTGACATGGCTGTGGTGGACGCCGACAAGGAGAACTGCACCGCCTACTACGAGCGGTGTCTGCAGCTGCTGCGGCCCGGAGGCGTCCTTGCTGTCCTCAGTGTAAGGGATAGCCTAGGGGGAGAGAAGATGCTCTCGGGCTGGGAATCCTCCCCCCTTGGCTCCTCCCCATGCCCCACCCTGGTACCCCAAAGCCCCAAGCAGTATTCATGTCAGCTCCTCCCTCGAGGTATTCAAGCAGAGTTCTCACGCCCCTGCCCCTGGAGGGCCCACCCCCGTGATGCCCTGCCCCTCCTCCACAGGTCCTGTGGCGAGGAAAAGTGTTGCAACCCCAACCAGGAGATCTGGAAACCGAGTGCGTGCGAAACCTGAACGAGCGCATCCTGCGGGATGCCCGAGTCCACATCAGCCTCTTGCCCCTGGGCGACGGCCTCACCTTAGCTTTCAAAATCTAAGACTGGCCCCTAGTGACTGTTTCGATGGAGAGGGGACCTGGGAACGCCAGCAATCTCTCCGGAGTTTTAAACCTGTCAATAAAGTGGGTCCTGGACAATCTTATGAGCTTCCATACAGCACTGAAGTGGGGCAGGGAGGGGAGGCCCGGCACAGGCAACTTCTTGAGCGAAAGTGAGCCTTAAGGTTACATGTTCATCTCCTCCCTGGCAGTCTTGATGGCCACCTGGCACCAGGGCTGTGGCCCAACCCCAGGAGCCACCAGCTGGAGGCAGGATTTAGTTTTAATTGGCCTGGCCACATGCAATTGGACAGAAAACCCAACTCCGCAGGTTTGCCCCTACTCCAGTCTCTAAGGGCCAGACGCTGGGTAGAGCCCAGCCTGGTCTCCCTCCTGCATCTCTTCCTAGGAGGCACAAGTGGATGAAGTTCAGTCTCCGTGCAGCTGGCACTAGTGAGGAAGCCGTATCTGGGATCTGACAACCGGCTTTGTAGGGGAGTAAAGTTATGCCAGTTCAGCGGCCACTTAACCGTGTTTTCTCGTAACTGCCAGCTCAGCCATTTGACTTCGACACGAGGACCTCAAGGTCCACCTAAGTATACTTCCTGTCTACCCCCTTAAGTCCTGAAGGTGAGGGGCTGGATGGCAAGGAGGGACTGGGTGGGAGCACAGGCCAGACGTGTGAAGCAGACCAGCCTGTGAGTAGGAATTGGTACGGCAATTTTTAACAAGTGCTCCAGACGGAAGTTAGACCTTCCAACACCAACATCTATGAGTGGAGGTGGGGAGGCAGCCAGGTGCTCTTATTTTAAACCTCCACAAATCCTCCACGATTTCCATGTCTCAGGCAGAAACACCATCAGCCTATAATATACAACCAGGTTTGGCTACTACCTGGTTAGTGGTGACGTACCTGGAGGCTGCCAGAAGCAGAGCCACATGAACCCACAGGTGGCAACTGACACACGTCACCCTACAGGTCCTGGGTATACCTTGTATTGGGTTGGCCAAAGTTCACTTTGTTGTTTTCCCACACAACGGCTCTCGTAGTGTTTAGTCATCTTTAACTTCATTCAGAACGATTTTGTTAGGACTATGACAGCTGTCATCAGCATGCATTCAAAAAAATCAGAATTTTTGTGCAGCCATTTTAACATTGAAGATGGAAGAAAATATACATTTTTAGCATATTACGCTTTATTTCAAGAAAGGTAAAAACACAACTGAAGCACAAAAACGATCTGTGCACTATACGGAGAAGATGCTGTGACTTATCAAACATGTCAAATGTGGTTTGCAGTTTCTTGTTACTGACATTCTGGCCAAATACAGTAATTCTTTGCTTGTTGGGCTGTCGTGTGCATTGAAAAACATTTAGCAGCAACCCTGGCCTCTGCCCACTAGAAGCCAATGGCAGGAGATAGCTGGTATACTCAATATTCAAATCAATAAAAGTTATTGGTGTAAATGAAAAATGTATGTTTTAGGCCCTGGCTGGTGTAGCTCAGTGTACTGAGCACTGACCTGCGAACCAAAGGGACCAAAGGGCCGCTGCTTCGATTCCCAGGCAGGGCACATGCCTGGGTGGTGGTCCAGGTACCCCCCACTTGGTGGGAACATGAGAGGCAACCAACACATTGTTTCTCTTCCTCCCTTCCTCTCTAGAAATAATAAAATCCTTAAAAACAAAAAAAGAAAAATGTGTCTTTTTATGAAAACAACTAAGTGGACTTTTTGGCCAAACCAGTATTTTATACAACACTTGGACACCTGGCTGTAAACCTACCCTTCTCTCCCACTCATAAAAAGCACACTGGGACGCGTAGCAGTGGACAGGTACAATTCTCTCGGGGTGGATTCTTGACACTGACCGACAGTTAACTCACGTGTGCCACATTTCACAACATATGCGTCTACCCCAGTCCGGAGCCAGGGTACCAGACTAGGTGCACTCCTGCCACAGCAGGAGCGCCACCTGCTAACTTGGGGGCGGCAGGCCATCCCTGGGACTGCAGCTGTTTGGAGGCTCAGTAACCAGGATTCCCCCACCAGAGCACCACCAGTTTGAGTTTGCTGGTTCACTTCATACTTCTCGTGTCCCCAATGCACAGGAAGCACTTTCACAGGCATCTTTTCCTTTTTTTTCCTATTGGTTCACATTCCACGTTCTGCCATGAAGTCATGTGTGTCTGAGTCACAGGGACCGTTCCAGCCAGTCCCTCAGGGCAAAAAGTGAGACCAGGAGCCCCTGTGCCCCCCAGGGCACCTGTGTGGAGAACTTACTTAGGCTTCTAACTTCTCATCACATTCTTCCTGACCAGGACATTTTCAACAAGATACCACTTTCTGGGTAAGGAGTCTCATCGTACTACATTTTAATCTGTTCTCCATCAGGCTTCGAAATGTACTTCAGGCCCACATTACGAATTTGTTGAACACATTTCCCTCTCCTCTAACCTCTGTTCCCATCCTTCAAACTGATTCTTCCATCAAAGCAGCTTGTTCTTTTCTACTTTTCCAACCAAAATTACCTATTAATTTCTATCAATAAGCCCAAGTCCAGATGAAGGTCAATGGCTACAGACTGGAGGCACCGCCTCTGGTCCCAAACTCAGGCCCAGCTCTTCAGTCAGGACAACTAACGACCTCTCACTGGGCCCAAATGCTCCTCTCACAGTCCCTGTGGGTCCGGGACTGTCCAGCCCCTATTTCACTTCCCCACACGGGGTCTCACCCCCCCTAACTCGTTCCTTCCCCACAGCCTCCGCTCGCAGGGGTGTGGCATGTGCACGTAAGTGTTCAGCACCATCCTTCACTTGTTCTCCAACCCTTCCTGGGGTGCACAGCGACCCAACGTCAATTTTGCACAAACTTACAAGCTGAAGATGTAAAGCCATATATCCTCTTATTTTATTGTAGTCTAAAAGGCTCACAAAGTTACTCTAAGAACACAGAGGAGTTTGTGGCACAGGTTTTGGTAAAGAGCAAAATGCTCACTGGAAAAAAATTATTAGCTACATATCCAGAGAGATTTGACCCCAGCTAGCAAATTTTTAATTGTGCAAATACTTGGAGTCATTAATTATGTATACTTGTTTTATTCATAATTTGTCATGTTTTAGGGTACCAAAAGTGATTCTAATGGTTGCTATTTAACAAAAGAAATTTTAACCTCATCTTAAATCCACTGATCCATTTCATTCAATGGCAGTGCTCAGTGTGAAAAGGAACATAAAAACAAACATGCACACGACTGCACAGTTTTCATAAAGGTCTATTTCATTATTGGTGGGTAGCTCATTGAACAGTTAAATACATTTAAATAATGTATAGGAGGCTGCACGACAGCAGCCCTGGTAACTAGACAGACAACCAATTCAACTAGAAACCAGCTAACAAGTAACTGTAAATATTTAAAACACAGCTCTTGTTTAGCTCATCCTTTTTGATCACCTTCTTGGAGGGAAAAAAGCCTGCTGGTCACACTGGAAATATATTAAGGCCAAATCTTCTGATATCCATTCCCAGAGGTTTCTTTCAGCTGGATTAAGCCTCCAACTCCAGGGCAAGCCCGAGTTTGTGGCCTCCAGCATTGATACTCTTCCCATCTACCAGCGCAGACAGTGTGAGCTTCACACCTGTAAATGAAAGCAGACAGCCATGACGTGCATGCAACACCACGGAGGCTCCGCCGTCGTCTTTAGCAACTCCAGAGCTTGCCTGTCACTGTTCCTCGGCCTGTCAGATGACCTACTGGTGCCAGCCACCAGAGGGCACTTGGGAGTATCTGAGATACCAGAGAGAATTCTGTTGGCATCAGTAACAGCACAAAAATGGAAGTTGAAAGAGCTCTAGAAAATACAATAGTGTTCAACATACTATCAGACTAAAAGACAATCATAACCAAATTCTGGAAAGGAAAAACTGAAACCTTTTTGGGACGAGTGGGGAAATCTGAACACACTACAGTACAAACTAGGCATTATCAATGTGTATTTTCCTAGCTGTGACAATGCTTACTGTACTTATGAAGAAAAATGTCTTACTCTTAGCATATCCATGCTAAGGCTGATGTGTTCATATGTCTGTAAAACTTACATTTAAATAATTCCTCATGGCATGTGAAAACAAAGGATTATATACGGAGACATGAAAAGGTAAAATAAATTTGGTGTTATAATTGGTGAATGTGAGGAAGGGCATACAGATGTTCATGGTACCATTCTTTTCTTTAGGTTTCAAAATGGTCAAAATGTCTGGGTGAAAATCCCTATTCGGAGGCGGCAAAAGTTCCAAATGCCTTGGAACCTTACTATCCAAATGGTGGTTCAAACACCAGGGACACTGCCATCACCTAAGAGCTTGTTAGAAAGATAGAATTCCCCATCCCAGACATAAAAACAGAATTTGCATTTAGTAAGATTTCCCAGGTGATTCAGGCACACACTGAAGTCTGATAATCTGGTAGGTACTGCTCTAGAAAACACAGTAAGGCTCGCAAGGCTCAAAATAATATGAAGTAAATGAGATTACAGACGCCAAAACAACAAAGCCATGAGTGAACTCTGAAGAAGTACAAATTACTGTAAGACATTTCAGGGACTAGTGAGGACACCGAACAGAGAATGAATAATACTAAACGCCACGGCCTCACTGTCCGTGTCCTCAGGTGAGGACAGCACTGAGCTGCACAGAACAGGAGACTGTTCTCAGCAGAGACATGCGCAAGCATGTGGGGAAGCGTCATGACAGCTGCAACTTCCAAACAGCCCAGCAAATAAAAAAGGGGGAAAAAAAGAAATATAAAATTTTGGTCAAAAGTAAACGTGTTCATTGTACTTACTTCATCAATCAGCAGAACTGTTCATTGTTCATCAATTTTGTATGCTTAAAAGGTGTGCAAAACAAGAAAACTGATTTTTAAAACACCATTAAAAAAAATCCTACTTTATCAAGAATACTTACCAGGCCTCAGAGTCTGAGTGTAGCCCACTCCAATTAAACTAGAGTTGTTGACTTTTGCCTAAAACAAAATGCAAAAACTATTAAGAAAATTTTTGACAGGAGACAAAGCCCCTACATGTTTCCCTATCATGCAATTATGAAGTGTTCAGCCTTTTTATTCACACAATAAAAACATAATATTGTTATTAAGCCAAACAAAAACCAGGTGCCACTTAATTCTTTGTTTTTAATTGGCTGATTTTAGAGAGGGAAGGAAAGAGCGATTTGTTATTCCACTTATTTATGCATTCAGTGGTTGATTCTCGCGTGGGCCCTGACCGGGGATCAAACCCACAACCCTGGCATCAGGATGATGCTCTAACAAACTGTTAGAGCTACCCAACCAGGGCTTAACTCTTATCCATTAAACTCAAAATCAAATTGTCAGTACAACAAAATACTCGTGACATCTACCGGAATGTGCCTAAAAGACCGCCATGTAGTCCACGTGGCACGAGAGCCTAAGCACTCTAAGAAACCATCCACGTTGAGTCTGATAAAGCACAACAAAAACACACCAGAATGCTGCTAATGGAAGTCCACCGGGCTCACCAGCTATATGACATATGCAGCCGCAAAGTGTACGATGTGAAGTTTAAGTTCATGACTCGGACACATACTACTTTCAGGGGTCATCCTAAATAATCAAAACCATCAATGTTCAAAATCTCCAACTGGCAAGTACTTCCTCTAAGAATAAGACTGACTAAATCCCTTCTCTATCAT